CCCTCGCGGACGCAGTTGCCTCACGCACACACACGCACAAATGGGGGGCGAGGATAAAAAGAGAGCCCCGCACACGCGCGACGAGACACACGCCGCACACGCACACACCGTCTCTTCTCTCCCGCCGCGGCAGCCGCACGTCCCGTCACTCCCGCGCCACCGCAGCGGGGAACGAAAAAAGAGCCGTCGTCGCGGACTGCCGGTGCTTCTAGCAAGAAGGAGGGGGAAATGGGGACGTGTCTGCGGCACAGCCAGCGGCGGAAGGCAACGCACAAAGAGACACGCAGCGACAGCGGCGGACACGGCGCACAAACTAAACGTGAGCAGCGGCGAGTTACCCCAAGTAAAATTAAAACGAAAAAAAAGAAACAATGCGGAAGCCCAACAGAACTCAGGGAAAACAAACAAAAAAAAGAATTACTTCGGCAGGTGCTTCTTTACTTTCACGCGTCCAGCAGCACAAGAGGACTGGGAGAGTGTGTGTGTATATTTTAATACCTGCACGAAGAAAAAAGAAAACATCGCCTCGTTGCAGGAGCCCACACACCACTCGCACATTTCATGCGGCGTTCGGCCTGCGCTTCCACCCGGCAGTTGCGTCACATCCGTGCGGCGCACAGCAATGCGGCCGGCACCGCCTGTGGGTGCGTGGGCTGCAGCAGCAAACAGGAGGGGGAAAAGGGCGCGCCGCCCGTGAGAACGCGCGTAGCAGAAAAGGCAAAAAAAGATAAAAGAAAACGAGAGATACCATTAGGGCGCTTATTCTTCCAGCACAACATAAGGGGCAATAAAGAAACAAACGAAAAGGGGAAAAAACAAAAAAAACAAGAAGAAAAGACTGAGGCCTCCTCGGATAGAAATTTAATTGGAAATCAGGCAGCGGGCGTGCTGCGACGGGTGCGGCAGCCCCGCACCGCCTCACACTCTGCACAAAGCCGCAACGCCGCACAGCTCCAGCAGCAGCAGCAGCAGCACCTGCGGCACACGCCAATGCACAGTGCCGTCGCTCTTTGAGCTCCGCGCCCTCGGGGCAGCGGTGCTCGCGGTCTTAGCGACGCTGGCGGCGGGCTCTGCACCGTCAGCACCCCCACCTTTCGCCTGCGTCGTGGGCGAGCTGCCGGCATCCGGCGGCGGGATGGCGACTTTGCCGGCTGCGAGTGCCCTGACATCGCCCTCCTCCAGCGGGCGGTTGTACAGCAGGACGTTGCTCACCGTCACGCGGTGGCCGTCCCCTGCAGCCTTCGCGCCGTCCCCGCCAACGTAGAAGTGCGACATCGTGCCCCTCTTCAACAGAGGGCCGTCAGAGCTCCTTTCGAAAATCGTTTCCCCGTCGACGACCACACGCCAATTGCCGAGGTCACGCATTCGCAGCGCCACCTGGTACGTCCTTGTCCTTCTCCCACGCACCGCCT